CCCTCCAGCAGACATACATGCCGATTAGATTCCTTCCACTGGCGCCATAATATTTATATTTTTGCTAAAAATGCTTACAAATACGATCGTCAAACATTTTTTCAAAAATATTTAATATTTAAACTTTATGTAAAAATGATAAAAATTCTTAGAAAAAATTCGACCTTAGTTTTCAATTTATAGTCTATATCGTTCGGTGTAATATCAATTTAGAAAATGTTACGATGTAGGTTTTTTCTTGATGAATTAGAGTACAGTATATTCAACACGTCACGGTATTATTTTGATGGATATTAATTTTTATTTTGCGCACAAATTAGTTTATTTAATGACGTCATTTTTCAGCATTAACACTTTTCTAAAATCGTCATCATTATCATCATTTGTATTATACGAAAAACATATGACCAGTGGCGTAACGATGGGGCCGGGGGCCCTGTGTGATTCTGAAACGAAGACCCTTTTGGGTCCGGTCATCAATTCCATCGTGGGATTTTAGATGTGCATTATTATTCTAAATGTTTTTAACGACGAATAAATGATATAATAATTATGGATCCAGAAAATTTAGGCTAGTGAGGGACTTTCACAGTTAGAGAGTCTCCACCTCAGACCTACCATGGTTGAGGCTGAGGTAAGAAAATTTATGAATATGGTCCCTTTAGATGGCCGGAAATGGCACTTCACAGAATTGTGAATATAATTTTCCTTTTAACTCCAGTTAAAATTTTTTTGACAAATTAAGTGGGGCCCCGGGCCGGCAGCTCCCCCTCCCCTACTCTTTATTCCGCCACAATAATAGGCCTAAATCAGGCCTATATGATATGTCCTACAGCCGATTTCAGACACACATATTGCTGTTGCTTTTGTGGGGCTGAGATAAGAAAATGTATTATTATGGCACGTCTAGATGGCCGTAAATGGCAGTCACAGACTTAAAATTGTGAATATAATTTTTTTTTTTATCTCCATTTAAAATTTTTTTTTTTGGACAAAATTTGGTAGGGTGCCGGCCGAAAGGGAGACTCCGACGGGGTCCTTTAATCGTTGTAATATGATATATGCCATAAAGTCGATTTCAGAGACACGGTGTTATTTATCAACAAAGTCCTTTTTGGTCAGGGTGCTAGATCGAGGAATCTATGGGTATGGGCCTTTCGGGGCCCCTAGAATTAGGCGTTACGCCACTGCATATGACAATGCTAATGATAATATTAGTGAGGATGATTATGAAGTAATGTATCATATGTTTAAATTAAAGTTTTGCTCCTTCATACATAATACAAGCATTTTAGTTTCCTCCTTAATAAAAACAAATAAGTTCATCAAAAAATGAATTTTAAAAAAATAAATTTAAAAAAAATTCGATTTAGCTTGAGCAATGCACACATTTTCTTGTCGGGGATAGGCGCTTAATCACGTAGTCAGGTAATTTGTAATACGTGATTCGTCTGCAAATTAAAAGAATAAAAGGACTTTTTTTTAAATCTGCCCCTTATATAAAGCGATTTGTTTAGAGCGGTTGATGTGACGAGGAAAAAGAAATATATGTTAGGCCTCTTTACCACCTTCTTAATATAATCATCGTAATCATTATCATCTTCTCTATAAGAAGGGCCACTTGAAGTCAATGAACTTTTCCGGGTGTCAATCAAACTTAACAGCTGACTAATCAGAAGCTTGTCATAAAAAGTATGATCCCACAGAGACGCACGTGTGTACGTATATTTACGCTGTCATTTTGTGGGGCAAAAATATCCAAGGGGCGGGGCTTGCGGAAGATCCATTTGATGATTCGTATACTCGATCAACATACGTTCAATAATGAACTCAACCGAGATTTTCATATTTTTTGATTTTATATATATATATATATATATATGGAAAAAGTTTAATTTTGTATCTTACTTAGGTCATTTTAATCTATCCGTGCTGTCGAATGAATTATGGATTTCTGCGTGAATTATACAAGACGATGATCAGATGCAGGTTCACGTACAAAAAATAGATATTGATTGATAATTGGTGTATTCACCAGAGTTAAATCATGTTAGAGCTTCAAAGTAACAGATGATTTTTCACATACATACATACATACGTATATATATACTGTCTCTTATACACATCTAGATGTGTATAAGAGACAGATGGCACTTCACCAACTGTTGCATATAAGTTATATAATATTTTTAGCAAGATGTAACTGAAATACATTGCATAGATAAACCTAAAAAATAGTATTAAATTCATATTGTGTTAATATCAGCAAATTGACAAATGCAATGGAATAAATATAAAACATAATATCTATGTTATATTTTAATGAAAATTCTGATTACCATTGTAAATTTTGTAATAACTTAGTCGATCCTATTCGCGTTAGACTATAGTCAAAAATATTCTTATGTACTATATTTAATATTTTTTACATACCGTACATAGGATCATTGAATACAGTACTGTACATAGAAATATTAAATATATTACAAAACAATCTTGTGTAATATACTTAATATTCGTAATTACGGTATTGTACGCCAGTATTTAATAATCTTATGTCATGTATTAGTAATCTTACTGTACTAGATCGTGGTCATCTTTGAATTAGTGTGTTTGTAATTGAAGTTTTGATTTTCAAAATTAGTATTACGACACTTGAAATTAGAATCCGTCTTTTAAGTTGAAACAGCTTACCTGAGAGTGCCATTTCCAGGCATTTAAAGGTGGCGTATCTGATTTTTTTTTTTCGCTTCAGCCCTCAACTATGGTGGGATTATGAGGTGGGTTATGATTGTGGCCAACAATACTCATTAACATTGTAGTTGGGGGTACGATAGACCACTTGTCGGGGAAATGTAACGCTGCCGGGCCTCACTGGCATGGATTTATGCTTCGTCTAGCCTTGAATGTAGTATTAGTTTTCGCCTCATGACCTTAACCTTAACGTTAACGGATGACGTCATAATGTATTCATCTCGCGTTGCGGAGTACGTTAATTTCAGGGTTTATGTACTCGACGTACGTTAGTTACCGGTTTGCGCATGCGTATTTCGATTTGGGGGCGGCGCTATCGCGTTGCATGGTGGGTACTAACGGTAAAGTTAATGTTCACGTCGTGCTTCCAGCATAACCTGGATACGCAACTGGGCCTATTATAACTCTTGGATACTCTTAAAATAATTATGAATAAAAGAAAGAAAAATAGATAAAATATAATATAAAGGAAGAAGTCAGTTGAAGCCTACACAAACAAAAGTAGATACCGTATTTATTCGAATAAATACGGTATCTACACAGAAAAAAGTAGACACTGTATTATTTGAATAAACGTCCCGCTTTGAATAAACGCCCCATCGAATAAACGGCCCCCTCTAGAGCCTCATTTGGAATAAACGCCTTCCTCTAATAAACGCCCCTATAAATGACTATAAACAATATTGTAATGGAAGCCACGTCATTCTTAATACGTTCTATTGATTACATTTTTTAACCTGGTTGGGATCAATCCTTCTTTATGATAACGCAATAACACATTTTTGCGGTAATTAGGCCTATGTGTTCCACATTTACAGTGAAATTAAGGGGCGTTTATTTGAGTATACGTAACCATTTTACACCAACGAAACAAACGCCTCCTTCACTCGAATAAATAATTATTATAGCCCTCTCAAAAACCTTGTGCCCCGTGGCGTTATTCGAGTAAATACAGTAAATGGGCCTTATTACTGGCAAGCCGTTACTAAATCCTGAAACAAGAAGACCTGTTCGCATGACATCTGGTTGGATGGTAACGGATGAATCGTTGATGGAAACGGATAAAGGGATGGGTGTATGGAGGTGGATGGATGCATTAAAATGGGTGAATGGTTAGATGAATGGATGGATATATAAAATGATGGATGGAAGAATGGATGGGTGGGTGGATGGAAATGTGTGAATGAATGGATTGTTGACAGGATGGATGGATGGATGGATGGATAGACAGACATATAGATGGGTGGATGGATGGATAGACAGACGGATGGACGGATCATTAAATGGATGGATGCATGAATAAATAGATGGGTGAGTGAATGTTGTTGAATGGATGGATGGATATATGGATGGATGTGATTTATGTTTGGATGCATCTGGCATCAACAGTCATTAGGAGAAAACATTTTCCTCGGGAATGATCCGAGGCAGCGGGATTATTTTTAGATGATATATGATATTTTCGAATTATGTCTACGTCATAAGGAGGAATGTGCCTATTTTGAACTATTTTCGAAGAAGTTCTATGCTTTACTAATTTTCAGATGAAATTTTAAAGAAATTTATTAAAAATCAGCTTAGCTGACAAGCTCAGCTTTTCTGAACATATTTCTTATTTGTCAGTAATGAGAACATGTGAATGACCGTAGATGACCGCTGCATTTTGTCCATCTAACTAGTAATCTGGTCCAATCCAATCCCAATAGTTAGTTTTACAGTCCATAACCACGAAAATTAAAACAATAAAAAATGCAAATCTACCGACCATTTGAGGGCAATTAGTAAGCATGAAGTCAACTTATCCATTCAGATCTAATCAAAAATCGTTAAATATTAATATAGTGCTGCGTGTTATCGATACAGAATGACATCGTGTACAAAAAAAAGTAGATGAAATGACTTAACTAATGAAGCAAACATCGACAATAAATCAAGGAATTATTGTTTATGTTCATAATTATGCATGTAATGGATGTCATTCATCCCTATTCTCACGCAAGCCCGGTGATAGACTTCTTCGCCGGAAAAAGATGTAACGTTACCATGGTAACCGATTCATCGTCAGGTAACACACCTATCAAAACTACTGTAATTTCATCTACTTGATGGTGTGGGCAGTTTCACCGTAGACAAAATATAGAGTTCTCCCCGAAGCACGCCCTCACTGGCCGAGGCAAGATTAAGGGAAATGGAACACTTATATTAAAAGCAATGCTCCGTAAGTTCTCATTTTATAAGGTGGAACGTGTTCGATAGGTACCTGGAAAACAGACGGATTGTATCTGGCGTAGCTGTGGCCAAATCGCGATTAGGCAGCGTGTAGTTTTGTGAACCAATTTTCAGCAGAATGAATGCAATTTCACCGACCAAAGTAGGACTTCTTTTGGTTCTTATAAGTCTGCTGTTCACAAATATAGGTAAGCTTGTATAATCGTTGCTTTTCTTTTCTTTCTTTAAAGGGTCTCTTATCAATTTTTGAAAAATCCGGCTGTTAATGAACTAGTGACCCAAGTCGATCGGACTCATACAATCAATACGCTTAATTGGATATAAATTTCGGATTGGTGTTAATTTGTGTATCCAAGTGAATACAATTGAAATAATAATGTGAATGTAAATTTGTTCTCACTAGGAAATGAAGACATCATTATAACGATTAATTAAATTATGGTAATTCAATCTTGCTAAGTTAAGGACCGTATTTATAGATACAATTTGGATTAATATTAATAACAATATTAATGTTTATATTGATAATATAATTGTTATATAAATAAATTAGTATATTAACCTTAATATTGATATTGATTTTGATGTTATTAATATTAATAATATTAATATTTCCCTGAAAAGAGAATGAGAATTTTTATGTCAGTAACTATTATTTTGGACATAGCAGTCATATAATCGAAAAAGCAAACCTCAAAAATGCAATTATATATTGAATAGCTCATTTACAAACTTCAAATAAGTTATTAACAATGATATACGGATCAACCCAGGCCGTCACTGATCTGCAAATCCTAATCCTAAAAGCCTATTTGATTGTCTATTCAAAATAATATAAAGTGTGCGTTATTTATGTCTGCAAACTAGTGATGTAAAACATTTTATCATTCTAATTTTCAATTTAAAAATGATAATTTATTCTGCTTACAAATTATGCAAATGACTTATTGAATTTTAATTTAAAAAAATGTTTTAGCACGTAACCGCAGATGGTAGGGTATGTCTTTCAGGGACAGATCCAAGCCGGTAAGAAAGATGAGGCGTGAGTGTGTGAACTAAGTGAGAGTCATAGGCAGAAGCCCCTGGTAGGGATGCAAGGGACGAATCCACTTAAAACTCTAGCACCTTCATTAATTTGAGTTCGTATTTGAGTAGCCTGGTAATTTTCTGGTGAAAAAAAAAATTACAAATAAAATAGAGGGGGCGTACGTACGCGCCCTACACGCCCTCCCACTTTTAAATCCGCCACTGTCTTTTATACCCTTAAAACATGGATTTCTAGTTTCCATTAACAGAACCCAATTATTGATTTCTACAGAAATAAATATCAAAATTAATTAATAAGCCTAGTGTTTATTTAAACAGAGGTTTATTAGATAGGGTAATGGTTCCATAAAATTTTCTGACCCAATGCCTTTATTTTATATTAGAACAGGCTGAAAACACTTTACAACGATCTATTTAATATCTATTGCAAATCTATTACAAATCTAGTATAATATACGGGCAATAGCAATCTTTTTCAAACTATGCAGCTATTTATTACAGTAAATAAAACTTAAGTATAATTTTTCGACTAACTGAAATACTAACATATTAAAACCTCACCCGTGTACAAAGTAAAATAGACCTTCCTTGTGTCAATCAACTGACCAATCAGAACGTGTTATCTAATTTCCATAATTACTCGCATGTCTCACATATAAATGTACGTTTACGCTGTTGTTTTGTAGTACTTTAATACTAATAAAAATAATATCCAAGGGGCATAATATATTATTGCGAAAAGTTTCTGGTAAAATAAAAGTATCTATTCATAAACAAGATGAATAAACTAAAAGATTTTCACCTTCTGTTTACCGAATTAAATCCTTAGACGAATTAAAGTTTTCAATTCGGTGAATAGTAGGCCTAACAGTTTAAGTTTAACCAAGTGTGCGAAGCAATTAACTCAATGAAATGTGTCTTTGGATTATATCGTTGGGGAAACATATATATGCGGTATTAAACGAACATTGATATCCTCAGCCTACCAAGTACCAATTTTACTCATGGGAGAGACAAACCCAAAGACATATAGGTGAATCATGCAAACACTATCCTTATCGATTAGAGCTGGCTTACAACCACAAACCATGACACTCTGTCGTACGCATTGTATAAGTATAGTAACCTGACTAATATTTTTCGAGTAATAGAGTAGGGGGATTGCTTCACGGTGTAGGCCTACTGCCCAATCACCACCAGACGGATTCCTCTGGAAATTGACTTTCGTGGGTTATCATTTGTGTTTACCACCAATCCCGTACATTCCAGTCCAAAGGATAATGGTTGATTTCATTACAGTGACCCATCGATCGCAGACAGCGCACTTTCTGCTCGAACGTCTACATCCTCCAAATGTCCGAGCGGTAAAGCCAGCCCAATGTGCCCATTCAAGATTTTAATCAGGTGTTACATTATTAGTGAGTTTAGAGGTTACTGGATGTGGTGTCCGCGTTCTGGACTAAGCACACAGTAGGTATATATGGTACTGCAAAAACTTTTTTTTAAATCACTGTTCACAGTTAATGGTAGATCGTCTGCGAATCTATTTTTTATATTGGTTTTTATCATGATACAATGCAGTTAGCCCACATGCAGCATGCACCACTACGCTGTGTGTATACTACAACCAAGGCAAATTAATTGTCTTGCTGCAACATACAATCATGCTAAGAAGAATATTACCCGTGGCAAAACACTGGCAATGATTTTGCCCGCTGTCCGCGTCAACTCCACGGCCACTCAATCTGCCCGCGAGCAACGGGTTCTTCGAAGTGCACCGTTCACGATAGTACTACAGGACAATTATGTAAGGGCTAGAATTTATAATGACGTCACCACGTGAAAAACACCACTTTAATCCTCAAGTAAAGAATAAAATAGCCATTAAAAATATAAATGCAAACATGAACAAATCAATTTGACCGACGGTGACGTCGTCAATTTAGTAAGTCCAAAAGACGTGCATAGAAAATGAATAGGTCTACTTAGAATGGGAGATAAATTCCATTTGATTGATCGCTCCATGATACCTCTGAAGAATCAAAGTTGAAGCGATATATAAAACAACCGGCAACGTCTGCTTTCTCGTTATACATTACTCGCCGTATTGAGTGTAATATCCACTATTGGCATTGATTGATGCAGATATATGACTTTTGCATCACGTGATAGGCTCATTCCTTACGTTCATTGTCGATCATTGCTAGAGAGCAAACGCTCTGAGCGTTGCGTGTTGTCTTAACCTTGGTTTTAATCCGACCGTGTGATGATTTTTACACCAAGTTCACTGCGTCGACTGAGAAGATCGCGACATGCAAAAGTAATGCGTACTTCAGCTGAAACGCGCGACTTAGGTAGATAATTAGATATGCCTATGTGTATTTGTCACTTATACGCACGACAGTGCATCAAACAACCCCGCTTTAATCTATAGGATGATTTATCTTTCCATTTATCTACTTACGGACTGTCGATCAAGCAATCTCCCCGTGTATATAGACCTATTCCTAATTTATTTTAGTATTTTGCCCACACAGGACATACTCATTATAGACACACTATTGTAGTTTGTAGTTTTATTCATTAAACATCAAAGTCACTCAATTAACTAATCGATCAATCAATCAATTGAACTATCAATTAATTAAGCAATCAAGTAAGTAATCATTCAAATCAATCACTCCAATCGACAGTGATTGATTTTACTTTTAGTGTCCTGTCTCTTTTTTTTTTTTCTTTTTCTTTTTTTTTTGTAGTTTTGTGATTGTTCTTTGCCGTTTCTGTTTATGTACATTTTTATCTTAATTGTTTGAGACAAATAAATGAAATGAAAATTAAATGAAATGAAACTTAAATCAGTTAGTCAAAAATCAATATTCCATCAGTTAATCTACACCTAAAAAACATGGAAAACAATGCTGTGGGAAAACAATATCGTAGATATAATACCTGGTTTTAGATAGAGATACACAATAATAAACTAATATCTAAAATATAAAAAGTCAGAGAGATATTAAAACCTAGATATAATAGACCTTCTTCTAATAGTTCATTATTTTTTAATAGACAACAGAATTCCAATTCCAGTGTAATATCATACCGTGCTTGAAAGATTAGTCTGTGTATTCCTCATGATTGTGATTTCACCTCAACACTTTTTTTTTTATTACTTCTCAATGTCTATAAAACATTGAAAATGATCTATATTTCCGCAGATTATGTTCTAATAAGTAATTCATGATTAAATCAGAATCAGAATCAAAGGTCTTTGTCCTCTCGGAAATTACAGTGGAATACGATTCTAAACATTCACAACATTAACTTATAACATGAAAAACCATTATGTACAATAAAATAAAATAAGACAAGTTCAAGGTTAACATAGCTTTTTTGTGATGAAGAGTGAGGAAGCACTCAAACCCTTACAGTAGGCATATTCAAGCAAAGAGTATAAAACTGCAAGAGGTCTGACTGCCCTTAATTTGTATACAGGCAATGGAACGTTAAAAAGTACTCCCACGAAGGGGCGTGTCCTTCATAAGAACGTAAAAAGCGTTCGTATCGAACGCGTGCTGCGTTTCGAATTCCAGCATACATTCTATAGACGCGCAGCACGCGTTCGATATGAACGCACTTTACGTTCTTTTAAAGGCCACGCCCCTTTTGGGTAGTACTTTTTGAAATAGGATTGCGTTCCAAAGAATCCACGGTAGTCGGACCTCTTGCAGTTTTACACTCTTTGGTTACAGCTAGTAAAACATAGGCCTACACTTATTTAAACATTAAAAAATATATATACAAATCATCATTACCTAAAATTAACATTTGTTTAACATTATTCAGACCATCAGTTATTTATAAGTTATACCAGGCTAAAATCACATTCGATGAAGAAAGTATAACTGTCAAAGCCAACCTAAAAATTCTTATCTAAACATTTAGAAATATGTATACAAATAATCATTACTTAAAAATGACATTTGTTGAACATTATAACATATATTCAGACCATTGGCCAGTGATATTACAAATCCATTACAAAATATCAGTTCGAAGTGGTATTGAGAGTAGTACATGCAGAAACTGACTCATGTCTTCATCTTTACATTGACGTAAACTAATGCTGTTCATTAAGTCATCA